TTGAAGAGTGTATTCTCATTAACTAGAAAACACAAATTGAGGAAATTAATCACCTATGACAAAGCTTGTCTTGCTTTAACATGAGCACCAAGAACAAAGCAAATTATAAGCTTTGAGTAAAGTAGTCATGGCACCCAGACAACCAACAGAGCTTCTGCAAGAGCTGCATGATGCAAGCATCCTCCTCAGTGAAAAGAAGTGCTCGGGTGCCAAGAATGTGACTTGTGGAGTGATACACATCATTAGCCTCTCTCCTGTAGCCTGAGTTCCTTGGGGCTGCTTTCTCAGCCAATAATGGGAATGCTCAGCAAGCAGTTCTGGGAAAATAATGACAACCGCAGAAAATGGTGAAGACTATATCTTAACAACAGACTAGAACTGGGGGGAAGGTATATACTGGGGAAAATGCAAATTTTATTCCATAAATGTTGGGTTGTATAATCTTCCAATATGAATTACTCAGCTTACTTCCTTCATCAGTCCCCTTTGCCCTGAAGCCCATCACCCATTGACTTGGATGTTCTTGAAAACTCTCTGGCAGCTAACTAAGGAGTTTTAACTTTCTAACTCAACCCATATATGAATAATTTTGGCTACCTTATTCATATCGCATTACAGGGCATGTGGCTGGTTTCTCAAAAGACCTTATAAAGTAGCAGTCTTTTGGTTCCCTTTTATCTCCTGGATTTTGCTGAATCTCTTCTAACCATCTTTATTCTTTTTTCACCTTCTCTCATAATTTTATTTTCTCCCTCCTTGCTATTGCATTCCCTTATTTTTGACAGTCAATATCTCCAGGAAAAGGACTTGGACTTGTTTGTAAAAGCAAAGTAGTTGTGCATCATTTTGAACTTGCCAAAGGACTGATGCTACAAAATTTTTCTTTAATTTTATTATTAGTTTCAAGTATACAGCACATTGGTTAGACACTTATATAGTTTATAAAACGACCCCCCTAATTGCTCTTTCTCTCCTCTGGCTCTCCACTTAGCCATTACATTAATACTAACTGCATCCCTTATGGCGTGCTCCCCATCCCTGTGGCCATCTATCAACTTACTAATTTGTACTTCTTTAACCCTTCACCGCAGTCTTCTACCACCCTCCCTTCTGGCCATCCCCAGATTGTCCCCTATATTTGTGAGTCTGTTTTTGATCCCAAAAGTTTTAGATGAATAAAGACCCTTGGATGCACATCTTTCTCTATAAGATACCAAGCTGTCCTGCTTTAATCCGTCAGCCCCAGAGAGATCTGCAAACCAAGGTCAACCACAGCACATCAAGGAGGCACAGATAAAATAGGAGGGAAGACACATGGCTTCTGTAGGCTGTTATTTGCCAATGAGTCACAATGAATACCCAGGTCCTTCTGCTGTAGCCTCCTGGTTAGTTTGCTGTGAGTTTGAAGGGCTATTGAAGCATGAACTTTCCCATAGAAAAGGTTCTCTGCTCTCGACTCTGCAAGCTCTAGCCACCAGTGTGGGCTGAATGTCCTAACAGGCAGGGGACTCCAGATGTACCAAGGGTAAAACTGCCACCAGTATCAGGAAAATGACTCAGATAATAGCATACTCAAATCAACTTCCCATTTGCTTGTGAGATTCATTCATATTCTTCACTTCAAAACAACATAGTAGAAACAAATATATAGAAATTTCCTTTCAGAAGGTCTCACAAACTCTGCCAGCCCTTTGCCTCAGTTCTTTTGCTTCTGCCTTTCCCAGTTCTCCAAGAGCTGGGTTAGCCGCTGACCTTACCTTTAGATTCAGCCTCTCTCCTAGGCCTGAGTCAATCCAGGACTGAAGCAGAAGGAAAGTGTATGACATGACCTCCCACCCTATAACAGGACACCTGAGGGAACAAGCCTAAGTCCCCTAGTGAGCCTTGGTCCATAGGCTTGGACTTCCGCTTTGGCCCTCATTCCAAATTCCAGCCTGGCAACTACAAAACTGCTACCCATGCCCAATCTTCGTCCTGGTCTGCTCCACATATTCATGTGCCCTGCATTTTACATACAGAAAGAATACAGTAAACACTGCAAGTTTCAACTAATTTCAACAACTCTGAAACTAAATAAGTTAAAATACAATTCTTAACGAAAAATCCGTGCAAAATCCTTCAGACACTTTAACTAAATCTGACTAAATCTTCCTCTTATATTCACTCTAGCTGTGGTAAATCCTGAAATATAATACTACTACTATGGCTCAAGAGGTGAAACTGGAAGAATATAGGATCAGCTCTCAGAAATCCAAAATGAATACTCTTAATCCACAATGGAGAATAGCTAGGATAAGTGAAATCCATAACCAGAAACAATTCCCAAATTTCCTTATGGCCTTTATATGTCAAAGTATTCCCTATTCATTTTTTTTAAAGAGCTGTGTAGCACATATGACCAATTGGGTTTAGTCTTCTTTTCCATCCTTTGCCTACTGTTTGGTAGAGGTTTTAAAAAGAAATATGTGTTTTATGGCATGTGAATTATACCTCACTAAAAAATGAAATAAATGGTCAAAATATGAACAGCTGGGAATAAAAAGAGGAAAAGCAAAGAGCCTAGCTCAGCAGCAGCAGAGCAATTAGCTGGAAACAAGCAGCAGCTGTCTCCTTCAGCCAGGTCACGGGCTCACCATGTTGCCTCAGACCCATCACTCACTTCATGAATTTATAGTTCCTGGCTGGCCCCTGTAAGTGGTGGAGTTTTCAACCTCGTAGATAATACACAAGCTGAACAATCAACCTTTGACTCACTGCCAGAATTCGTTTTCTATTGCAGTTCTAACAAATTACCACAAATTTAGAGGCTTAAAACCACACAAATGTAGTACCTCACAGTTCTGCAGGTTATAACTCCAACATGGGTCTCACTGGGCTAAAATCAAAGTTGCAGCAGAACTGTGTCCACTTTTGAAGGTGCTAGGGGAGAATCCATTTTCTGGCCTTTTCCAGCTTCTAGAGGCTGCCCACATTTCTGAGGGCATGGTTTCTTCCTACATTGTCAAAGCTAGCAACATAGCGCCTCTCTCTGACCCTGCTTCTGTCCTCTAGTCACTTTTCCTAACTCTCTTCTTCAGCCTCCCGCTTCCACTTATAAGGACCTTCCTGATTACACTGGGTGCACCTGGGGCACTCAGGCTACCTTCCCATCTGCTGATTAGCAATGTGAACCACCCCCCACCCTTCCCCATGTAAGGGAATAGTCACAGGTTCTGGGGATTAGGACATGGACATCTTTGGGGGCCATTATTCTGCACACATCAACCAGCCTGTATTTCAAAAATTATGAAAGAAAATGTAAAGCATGCACTTTTTATAGACAACTATATTTTGATTTACAAAATATGGGCTCCTAAAAATGTGTATGTAAAGCAAATTATGATTTACAGGTATTAGAGTAACTTGCTATTGAAAGGAATTCTATAGTGAATTGTTTTGTACTGATATTAATTCTGTAATGTCTTTATTTTATTAATTCAGATTTCCATACATTATATTTACTTAATGTTGAGGTAACTTAAGTATGGATAAAACATTAAGTATTTCGAGAACATTAGGGGAAGAGAGTGGAGTCAAAAAACATAGAACCATTTTCTGACAACCTGCACAGAATTATAAACCTTCATACATGCATTTGTGAACCTGATAACTGACAGGAGCTATAATAAAACTCGAGTCTCATTCATGCAACTAGTGAGCACCAATAGTGTGCTGGTTAAGAACACAGACTCAGGCATTAGCCTGACTAGATTCAAATCCCACCTCTGAGAACTTCGGAACTGTGTGACCTTGGGTTAATCATTGAATTTCTTTGTGCCTCACTTTTCACATCTATAAACTAAGAATAATATAGTACCTATAACATAGGGCTGCCATGAGGATTAAATGAGACACAGAATATAAGACACACAGTATGATGTGTGGCACATTTACGTCCTCAATAAATGGATTCTCTTATCATCACCATGTACAGATCCGCGATTAGGTGCAAGAGACACACAAGAAACATCCTCCACCTTGAATTCGTTGTTTTCAGGGCTTGAAAATGAAAAATGAAAGTGAGAACAGGACATGGCCACTAAGTGGAAAGCAGCAGGTGAAATATTAAATTAAGATAAAATTTGAGTCTTCCCTTGGTAGACACCCATGGTTTCTGCTTGCAGGCAATGTGAAAGATAGAATGACCTTCAAAACTTAATGGAATTGTGAATCATCCTCAGCAAACCACATGGTCTTATATTGAATATCTGAAAGAACGGTTATATTTCGTATCAGAGGATAATTTGTTTCTCTGCTCAGACTCTTCAAGTAGCTTGTTAGTTTTACCTTTGGGTTTTAATAGCTCTTCACAGCCTCCCAAACAAAGCCAACTTCATGTCCAAGGGATTTAAGGCCCTGAACAATTTTATCCTTCTCACTGTATCTAACTTTGCCTGACACAGATCCCTTACACAAATTCACCATTCTGGCCAAACTACAAAACTCACTAGTCCTGATATTACTAACATATTACTTTATATAGTGAGTTACTCTAGTATGTTTCTTATCTAGTCTGAGGGGCTATCAAAGGATGGGGACCCCATCTTACATAACCATATATTTCCCCACGGTGACCAGCATATAATAAGCACTAATTATTATTTGCTAGATAAATGAATTACCCTATCCTTCAAATAATTACATTCATTTCCACACAGGAACCTTTGATGCTCTTTTGTTTCAAAGCTATTTTATTCATTCAACTGACACTCTCTTTTTTAAACTTCCTGATTCAGAATACATTTTTTAAAAAAGTTGCACTTCTAAATTCATCCTGAGGTTTCAGACTTTTAAAATTCCATACATCTGTGAGAATCTTCTCATTAAAGTTTTGTTTTGTTTTTTTGTTTTTGTTTTTTTTTTTGCTGGAGCTCATTGTAGAGTTTTTGTTTTTAAAGAAATATTGTTTATAGACATGCTACTCAGGAGAATATCGTGAAAATGATGAAATAACATCTTACCTTCATGGTAACCGTGATGGTGCTATTTACATTCGCTTTATGCAACCAGCCTTGTTTTATCACACCACCCTTCTGAGAACATAAAGAAGATGAATCCTGAAATAGAGTGAAAACCATCAGTGAAACAGCAGCAAGCCATTTAATCAAATATTTGGGGGGACAGGGAGAGCTAGACCCTCCCCCATTTTCTAATTAAATCATAAAGTTACCCTCCCTCCACAAAGATATCTGATTAAACTTAAAATTGTTAACTATAGAATAAAAGGCTCTCTGTTATGCACACAGTAGGCACTCAATATTTACTGAATTGTATGAGCTGTCTTCTTGGAAAATCTTCTGCGTTATGTAAACAGGCAAACTGCACCTCAAAATGTCACAGACATCCGGGCCATCTGTCCCATGAGGGATCTATCAGGCAGGAGAGTCCAGATGAATCACTACACCACATGCCCAGTGTGGGAAAAGCAACTCCACAAACATGTCCCACAGGTGGGAAAACATGTTTATATAAAAATCACAGCCCATTTCACTTGATTTTTCCTCAACTCCATTTGGAAATGCAATAATTTTTTTTTAAGTTTTAAAAAATACTCATTAGTTTGAAATCTGGCTACAGATAATTAAAAAACAATTATTTCCCTCATCTTTTCTCAAAGAAATCTCTCACAGCAAAAGTGACCATGAAGAAACCAGTATAGTTGCCCCCATCTTTACCTCATCTTTTTCACAGTCCTCATCAATTTCAAACACATGACTGGGAATCTTTTCTGGTCTCAGAGATTTGCTGAAAATACAAGAGAATTGTCTTAGACACTGAATAGAACAGACGAAAACCAAACCAAAACAAAACAAGATGAGTAAACTTCTTTCTTTCATAACCAAGAAAATGCCAAGACATGAGGAGGAAAAATCCTTTTCTCCTTTCCAAACTCAGATTCTCCCCTCTGACGAAACTTATATTACCTTTTATGTAAGGACTCCCACACATGCAGCCAGCAGCAAAGATATAACTAAGGCCAGATACTTTGTCAGGGGAGGGCAGAAATTGCCAAGGAATGTATGCCAGAGCCGTTAGTGGTGGCAGAACCTCAACTTTCACCAAGTCAAAAAGCAACAGAGTGTAATTCTGGCTCTTCCATCTGTTTGCCATATGACCTTGAACTTGTCATCTTAGGACTCAGTTTTCTCCTCTGAAAAAATGCTTTTAAAACTATAAAAGGCTACAAAAGTCTTATTTATCCAAAACATTTTCATATGCTATCCTGTGAAGTTGGTAGTATTATGGATGAGAAAAGGGAGGGTTTAGATTGTGTGACTGGCCCCAGGTCATCTAGCTAGTATGTGATAGAAATAAAATTTGAACACTGACAGTCTGGCTCCTGGGCCAGTGTGCTCACAGCAGTCCTTCGACTCAACTGAAAGAGATGTACTTTTGTCAAGAGATATCTGGGGCCATCGAATTACGCCAAACATCTAGCTTTTTCATTGACACCACTGGAAAATGCTCACTACATTATCCAAAATCGAATAAAGATGATTTTATGGTCAATATAGATAGGCCAAAGCCAAAAAGTGAACTCATACATTTTGGAAAGTATTTCAATGAGCAAAGGTAAAACATATTCGATTACCCAAAATACTGCATTCATGCAACATGCTGGTTGTTTGAGGTTTTGCTCTACCATAAATTACAACTTTCACATACAACTTGTACATAAATTACAAGTTTCACAAGTGGTTAAAAAAAAAGGTAAAATGTTTAATAATTCTCCTTTTGAAGGTTTCCCCTTAATTCTGAACTTACCATGGCAACATCCGAAAGTCCCCAGAGAAATCTTCATACTTGTAGTTTACCACATGCCAATCTGTGCTGTAGGTTTTAATACACTGAAAAAAGAGGAATCTGTAATGTGATATGTAGGAAAACAATATATATCTAGATAGATAGATGATAGATTAGATAGATAGATAGATAGATAGATAGATAGATAGATAGATAGATAGATAGATAATCTCTAGTTTTTAAAAATCTGGTAATAATCTGACAGACTTTTAAAAATCATTTGGGAAATGTTGGTACTGGGATCTTCCTTTGGGGATTAACTGTGTCTCCCTAAACCAACTGGCAGCAATAAATACCAATTCTTATGCTCTCTTGAACACTGACTCCAAGTGTGAACAGTATTGAAATAAAAAAGAAAGAGACTAAGAACACATGCAACTTGTGAAAGTATTTAAGCTATATCCTTCATATCGCATCATATAAACTCTTTACCTAGGTCAGTCAACTTATAGTAATTTTATTTTCCATTTACAGTAAAGGAATGATTATTTTGAATATATGATGAATGTTCCTCTGTAGCCTCTGAGCCTCTTACCTCTTTGACAAACAAACTCTGGGCCCTTTTCTCAGCGTCTTCTGGTACAGTGGATTGTACTGTTCTGCGTTGACGACTTATCACCGAGATCTACAAGACAAGGAACGTTCTTGCTGTAAGAACTGGCTTGGCAAATACAGCTTTGTTTTGTTTTTCTTTAAAAAGTTGTTTGTGAACTCACGGATATATCTTCCATTGGAAACATAAGCAGGTCTCTGAGGGGATCACTGTAAATCTGGGTTTTTCTTTGGGTGATAACATTCTCATAGTCCAAGGGCTCAACAACTTTGGTCTTCTCCTTCATAAAAGACAAAAAGAAAGTTAATATGGTCAAATTCACAAGAGATAAGTTTTTCTCCATGTGCTAAAGATACATTATTTCACAAAAGAAGGAATTACAGATAATAATAAGCATGTAAAGGAGACCCTTTTACAAAGGAAATACTCTCCATAACTAGACACACACACTAAACACATACATACACTCAGACCTCTCTGCTAAAAACAAGGGTTCTGAAGAGAGAGCACTGTGCTCTGCTTATCCATAAGCCTTCCGAAAATTTACTGAATTTACAGTAAAGCAAAAAGTGGTATATTTGGGACTGTGGAGGATGGGCCTGGGTCAGGTGATGGCCGTTTCTTTCTAACCTTAATTGAGAAAGGCGTAGGCACCGTACTTTTGCTGCCAGCCTGTTGTTTTTCTCGCTGAAAGCCAGCTGGCGGAAAACCCTCGGCCTACTGCCGTCCACCATCCAGTCTAGAGCAAACAAAAAATGTCAGCGGCTGGCTAACTCACCCCTCCCAGAAACCTGTGGTGCTTGCCTGCCCAGCCCCCACACCCCGCCCGGAGGCCACCGTCAGCCCGGGGCTTCACCCACAGGTGCCCAACACTGCCAGGAAAAGTTGGGCTCTAGCTGCGGCTCTAGCCTCAGGGAGAGAAACAGAGCCCGTTCCCGTGCTGTGCACTTCCCTGAGCTGTGGGACTTGCACCCAGGACTGGGCTCAGACATACAACAAAAAAAAAGTGGTATATTTGGAAGCCTGTCAGTTGATATTTACTGAATATGTGCTTGTCACTGGGTAACTAAAGGGGAGAAAGTATTAACATTCACTTCCCTGCTCTGTACCAGCCATGCTGTCCAAATAATGTATCAATTTCTGGCATAGCTGGGGCGAGCGTGGGTATTGAAGATGCTTGATCCAGTGGGCAGGGCATAAAAGGGTGAGGTTCCACATGGCAAAGTCAGTGGGTCCGAGTTGGACTTCCAGGCAACCTGGCCATTGATAGTTGGGCCCTAGCCTGAGGATAAGGTTACCAGGATCAGGGTCAGTGACTCTGAGAAATCTAGAATATGATTTATTAATAAGAATGATAATAGTTAGCATTTACTGAGCCCTTTCTATATGCCAGGTACCATCCAAGTGCTTTCTCTGCAGTTTCTCATGTAATACTCAATAACAATCCCATGAAATAGGTTTAATCTTTGTCCTCATTTTACAGATGAGGAAATCTTAGGCTCACTTCAGATTGGGTAACTTGCCCACCTTCAGAGCTGAATTCAAATCTTAGTCTGTGACTAGAAAGGATGTTATTCCTAGCTCGTGCAGCTTTTTCTCTCTTCGGAAATATACGAAGATACAAATATTTAAGGTACTGAACTTGAAAAAGGGTCCCATCACCTACCTTCCTATCATCTTTTCCTTCACTTAACTTACCACGATTTTATATACCATCTTATTTTAGCTCTCTGCCTATCTAAAGGCAGGGAATTCCCTCTATTAGTTTACTGCTATAACCCCGGCACCTGGAACATTCATTAAATCGTTGAACAAACTCTGAGATATTAAGATTCAACCAGAGCCATGTCTCAACACATTATTCTAAACTAAGGTGTGTACATGTCAGTGATTTCATTAAACATTTTACTTAAGTCAAACTAAATTATAGTTCTTAAAAATTTTACAATAACAACTGTATAAAGAAAACTTGAATTTAAGATATTTTAAAACTTAATATCATAATGGAATAACGATTACATTTATATTTGTGCACACAGTATTTGAGGCAGTCTCCAGTACACTATATGCACACAATCCTTTGAGAATAGATTTTATACATGGTTCACAACAGTTCACAGCAATACTGCAGTTCCATTATCTGAAGGGCATCTCAGAACTTCCTCTATAAGATTAGTTAGAAAAATTAGAGTAAACCACTGTAACCAATGAGAATCAGTGTTCAATAAGTCTAAAAGATCCTAAGAAAAATAGTATGAAGGTTCCTCCAGAAATTAAAGGTAGAACTACCACATGATCCAGCAATCCCAATTCTGGGCATATATTCAAAGGAAATAAAATCACTATCTCAAAGAGATATCTGCATTCCCATGTTCACTGCACTACTACTCACAATAGCCAAGATATGGAAACAATCTAAGTTTCTACCTACAGATGAATGAATACACACACATACACATGCACACACTGAAATAATATTTAGCCATGAGAAGGAAGAAAATCCTACCATTTGTGGCAACACGTATAAACCAGGAAGGCATTATGCTAAGTAAAATAAGTCAGACAGAGAAAGACAAATACTGTAGGATCTCACTTATACATGGAATCTAAAAAAAAAGAAAAAAAAGAAAAAAAAAGTAGAATGATGGTTGCCAGGGACAGAAGAATGGAGGAAAATGGGGAAATGTTGGTCAAAGACTTTCCGTTATGAATAAGTTCTGAGGATCTAATGTACGGCATAGTGACTAGAGTTAATAATATTGAACTGTATACCTGAAAGTTGCTGAGAGTAGATCTTAAATGTTTTCGCCCCACACACAAAAAAGGTAACCATGTGAGGTGACAGACATGTTAATTAACTTGATTGTGGTAATCATTTCACAATGTATACATACATTAAATCATCACACTGTGCACTTTAAGTATATGCACTTTTATTTTTTAATTATGCCTCAGCAAAGCTTGGGAAAAAATACCCTAATAGATATACTTCAAGTTTTAAATTTGAATTTGTAGAACCATGAGGTCAAATCAAGTAGATCGTTCCTATCATGTTTGTGAATACTCATGCAAAATGAATCAAAATAGAAAAAAAACCTATTTGGGGAACTCAAAGATTTTCTGATAGGAAAACTGGACCCCCTTGTCCCTTATGTACCATGTTGTCACGGACCCAAATGAAAGGAAACTGCTTCCAACTCTGAAACTCAAAGTCTGTGATCATTTTCTATGAGAAGTTAAATGAATAAAGCCCCATCTAAAACAAACAAATAAAAAATAAAGCCCCATCTAAGAAGGCAAGCCTTAGGCACTGAAAATGATTTCAAAGTCTTGCCTTTTTTGACAACCAACCCCCAAAACAGATTGCAAACATTTCTCAAATTTCAATGTTTAACCTATTGAATCAGCACCTATTAATTTCTCTGTACAATAATTTCACAAGTACCTGTTCCAAGTAACTTTGAAAAAGATAAAAAAAGAAAATGCTCCTTTAGCTTTGTAATGTAGTTGACAAATTAATATGGAAAAGCATATGTCAAAATGAATCACATCTTTAAATGCACAGTATATGCCTTCTAAAAATGAAGCTCACAGCATCTCATGTGTTTTGAAAACCATATATTTATTTTATAGAAAACAAGGTTTCACTTTTCATTTAAAACTGATTAAATAAGCATTCTGGGTCTTCATTCTTACTTCCTTTGTCAGGGGTGGCTCAATTGCAGAAAAAGTTGGGGTGGCTAATCTGGGTTCCAAAAAGGTTCTAGGCCTGTGAATCCAACTTCATCTTTATAACAAGAAAAAGAGGAGGGGCTGAGCCACCCCATGTACCCCACCCTTGCCTCCAATTCCCATTTTTTTCTCCACCCCTCTCCCGGGCATTAAAAGCACAATTTGAACTAGAAATGGAAGAGAGAGGCTACAGTAAGAGTCAGTCCCAAAGAACTGCAGCCTACATTTCCCTTCCAGTAGGATTCTTGTAACTCTGTTGACATCAGAGACCAGGAAAATCTTTTTTTCAAATTATGATTTAATGGTGGCTCTGCCTGCGGTCTAGAACATATCCCTTATCTAACTTTCCTATTTATGATTTTATTATTAGACTTATAGGGTTACCCTAAATAAAGCTTCTATCACACACAAAAAAGGTCATTCACTCGGGCTTGTAATTTTTCCTTCCTGCCAGTTTGTGCACTGATTGGCCTGAAAGGTGCTTTTTCATAACTCAAGAAAACTGTCTTGTAATAAATAGTATTTTACAAACACTCAAATAGTAGCAAGTTCCCACTGTGCACTGCTATACAGTTCTGTAGCAGTGTTAAGTAAAAGGCAAAGGCATTTATACAATCTGGAGAAAAGGAAGCATATGTTACAGATTTCTCTTCCTAAGTAACAGGAAATTTGGAATCTGCTCAGTTTTCACCATGTATGAAAAAAAAATGGTTTGCCTTTGAAAGTTCTCATTCACTGATTCTTAGTCTCTCTTGAAATAACTTGCTAGTAGTATTACTCATTTTCTGTTGTTGTTGTTTAACTCGAAGATCACTTTGCAATCTTAAGAAAACATTTTCAATATACATTCTACCTATTTCACACCAAAACCTTTCCAGCAGACAAGGAAAATACTATCAACTTTATACATGAAGAAACTGGCTCAGAGGCTTACAATCAGCTGTCCACATTCAGTAGCAGAACCAGGATTCAAATTCAGGTCTTACAATGCTGACCCTTCTTTTCTTAGCAGTGTTTCCCAAACTCGACTTATGTATAATATTCAAGATTTTTGGCACATCTTCGGCACTATCATATACTTCACATTTTTCTTCCAATTTCTTCTTCATTGAAATGTATTTATTGAAACTGTAAGTCTGTATCATTCCCATAAAAGAAAATAAATCGGTATTTTCCTAACTGTTAAAAAAATAAAAAATACCATCTTTGTGCCATGGTTTGGGATACAGTGTACTCTTCCAGGCTTAGTCGAGCTGCTAAGGACCAGATCTAAAAGTACTTCCATGTGTAATCCCTAAAACTGTGGAAAAAAAATGCACAATTCCACAAATTGAGATAATTTTCTATTTCTAATACAGAGTGAAAGGACAGAAGTTAAAAAAGGAAACTTAACAATTCGGATTTGGTTACAGTCTGTTTCTTGGTCCAAGGAGAGGAAACAAGGATCCTAACTAAGAGTCAGTAACAGCATTAAATACTTAGATTTTACAATTTTGTGACGGTTCCTGTGCATCCATTGTACAGGATGACTGGCCTTTCACCATCTTA